TCCTCCAAAACATCCACCTACACACACAGCAGCACACAACTGTCTTCACATGCAGACCTGTAGCACCCACTGAGAGCTGTGTGTGCTCCATCTTGGTGAGAACCAGTTTTGGATCTTTTGAAGGGCATGTGGACATGTTTCATTTCTGTATACAGTTTAGAAATAAAGAGCATTAAGATTAGACTAGGTTTGGGTAAAGCTTGAGGTTAGTATGGACTAGACAAAATAAAAGATTAGGTAAGCGAATACCTTTCATGTGTGCCACAGACAGTCCAAATTTAGACAAAGAACAAGCTAAACTACAAAAAAAAAAAAAACACCAGAAAGATGGGCTTTGCAATGAGGTTCAAATTTAAGATACAGGTTTGAGTTCACTTTATGTTAAGTAGACTATGTAGTGAATGGAAGGTCCTCACTAGTATTACAGCAGAAAGGTGTTTGCGTGTAGGAGCGTGTGCAACAAGCAGAGCCTGTAACACAAGAGTGTGCAAAATAAAATGTATTCTAAACATGGCAGCAACTATTTATAGCCCCTTCTATTATTGATAGTCAAATTCTACTCTTTTCTACTTCAAAGCCCACCCTCCCCCCACACACACACACAATTAAGAAAGCGCCCACCAATCTAACGACAAGCGTACAGCTGTTGATGCTGACATGCAGAGAGCAGCTGTGTGTGTATCTCCACACTGTAGCCATACCGCGATCTATGGGCTTAAACATTGCACTCTCTACACTCTGCTTTGGTACAATATATAGGGACTAACAATAGAAATAAGTGGGACAAGGAAAAACAGGAGGATGGAAAGATAGAAATGGATGAGATGACCGTGCAGCACTCACTCGACGCAAGAACGAGGAGAAAAGTTACACTTCTCACACACACATGCAGACGAGGGCTCGTATCGGTAACTATTTGAGTATTCTGTCTGGTCCTTCATTCGGCTGACCCACGTTTGCACCGCCTCCTAGGCATTACCGCGCACCGAAGACTCTTCGTAAACTCATCACAATACAACGAGCCTCAAAGAAGTTCAAACGGCTCCATACACAGTTCGTATGCGATAAGCCAACTCCCGAGATGAACATCAGTTCGATTCCCAGATCCAGAGCACCTGCCAGCATCTAGTCAGCCATATTCAACGTTAAGCTTAATAAAGACAGGGCAAAAACCAAGACATTAAATCAAAACAGGAAGAACGAGACAATGCACTTCATCAACAAGGTTGGGTCAAACCACGACGAGGGTTTTCGTTCCTACGTCCTTTCTACAACAACCTCTGACAAAAAAACATGTCCATCAGCTATAGGCCTGCACGCTGCTTTTGTGGTCCACCAGACAAAGAATCCTTTATCACAGAGACATATTGAACAAAATATAGCAAGGAAAAAAAAAAAAAAAAAACCCAGTTTATGTCTTACATTGAACCATTGCCGCTTGGGCCACTCAGAGGCGGAGCTAGCAGGGACTTGATTGGATGTAGAAAAATGTCTGAGTCCTGGTGTCGATAGTGTCTTTGATAGACCACGCAAAATCCCAACCCCCACCCCTGCTGAGAATGAGCAACAACGAAAAAAAGTGTTGTAGTGCGGGCGCTGGGATGTGGGCGGCGAGCCGGGGCGTTGTGCGGGCTTGGGCCTGGTGGGCGTGTCGGGGGTTTGGTGCGAGGCGCGTGTTGGACCGGCGCCCAAGGCTCTGCCAAAGAGCAGTGGAGCAAAAGAGTCTGTGAGGTGGGCAGAAAGATGGGGCCAGCGGGTGGGATAGTTGTCGTGTGGCGCCGTGGAAAAAGAGTGAGAATGGCAATTGCGTGGATGGTTGGTGTGGATTGTATGCAATTTAGTTTCTTACGTGACTCGGTTGTGTGGGCAAGCACAGTTCGATGCGACGGGTGTGCGAGTGTGTCGTGTCCTGTGTAGTGCGCCCGCCGGCCTGGCTGCAGCAAAAGGCAGGAGACAAAAGTCGCGCAGTGCAGATGGCGAATCTTTGGTACGCCTGGTCTCAGGGACTGACACTTAGTACAGGATAGGATGTACGACGAAGTTCGTGTGGAGGTTCGAGGGTCAGCGCGGTGATCGAACACGTTGTATGCAATTGAGACAAGGGGCGACGACTGAAGGATGATTACATAACTTATACAGTAATTGTCCCGAGGTCAACCGATGTTCCGTTGATATTACTGAATCGAATAAAGATCCTTTACCAGCTATGTCTACGTCAGTCCCCATTCTCTCTGTACACTAAGCCATAAACAAGGTGATTTTAAGTCCCAGAGAATCAGACGTCAATCCCACTTCCAGGTAGTCATTTGTGGTTTATCTGATCGCGTTTCATAAATCTCGTATCTCCGCTCACCTATAATTATGCCTTACTCGGCTCTCCTCTCGTTCTTGTATGCTTTTGTGCCTCAGGCTTTGTGCTTGGTAAAAATCCTAAATTTTACTAAGGTGGAATCGACCGAACGAGGCGCATACATGCTTCCTCAAAGTAATGATGCTATGATGGTTGACACTGGCACATTGTACATCGACTGCAATAGATCGTGTTATCTCAGCACCGAGGCACGCCTCTATCCTGATATTACTCCGCTACCTCTTTCTGTGTTTGTCCAATTTGTTGTTTCCACCTGCGTTCTTGATATCTTGGTCTTCGGCCTGACGCGCTCACATGCCATCGGAGTTTGTGTTGTTGTGTGGTGTGGTTATCTGTAGGAGCGTTTTTTTGTCTTCAAATATCCAGAACCAGCTTCACTGTGGGCTGCGGCAGAAGCGCATTGATCGTGGCCTGTGCGGTCCTCGCGTGGCGAATGACATACACTAAACATCAACATGGCTAAATCTACCCAGACGTTCTTGCCATCAAAACAAGCTAATTTCCCTTTTGACTCAGAGAACAAACAGTATATAGTACTGCAACAGATATATAACCTGAATAATATGCGAAACCAATAGCAAATACCAAGAAAAAGGTCCTATATGGATGAGAGCGTTCCAAGAGTATAGCTGAAATTGACATACTCTCGTTATTTATCCGCTATGACTTACTACAAAGTGAAATTAATAAACATGATGATACTCTGACTACTCGTAGACTGATGGCGCATAATTGCAGGTTTTAAACGCACAACTGTTCGTGCTGATAATGAATAAAACAATAAACGCTCGCAGCACACGCATGGTGATATCATCGATTCAAACATCAGCTAAACTGCAATTAAGCTACATAAAAGATTGCGACAAAAACGCAAATCAGTTCTTTTCAGACATAGTACCTTATAATGCATCATGGTAGTTAACTCTGATAGTTTCATAGAACCACACCGTTCCACATGCCACATGACAGTACACTTACACTCTCACCACCACTGATCTTTCGTCTATATTACTGATATAAGACAATGCTCACTTCCTATCCTCCCTCACCACCCGCAATAAAATAACATACATACTCCCCCCCATCCAAGAAGAGCAGTTCTTCCCACAGTCTGCCTACAACCCCCACTGACTATGACAACCACCAAATACCCACCTGTCCCCGTGGATCACGTGTCTTGTCCAACTTTCAGGTTCATTGCTATTGCACATTTAGCATGTTATCATTATGACCTCCGACCCGTCAGAGAAAAGTAGTCATACATATTGAAAACCTCAGTACTCCCCAAGATACGAACAACCAAGACTGACACCTACACCGATAAAATCACAACATACCCATCTAAAACCCAGTACTAGCTATAAACCAGCGTAAACTATTCAAGTCATTCAACTACTGTTCAAATACAAATCTAAGCGCCTCCATCCCTCGTCCCCAGTTGGTCCACTCTGTCGCTATCTCCGCGCATCCTAAGAGCTCTTATTTGATGTACTTTCCTGTCCTGAAGATGCTTATTATATAATGTGTATAAAGAAGAAGCTAAGCACTGTAAATAATCCATTTCAAACTGTTAATTGCTTTCATATTCTTGAAAAATATGCTAGACCATGATCGATCTTTGCGGCGTTGCCCAGATTCGCAAAATACCACCTCTTTATTTAAGAACAGACGTAAAAATTACTACACAGCGCACGTTTTGTATTTGTTCCTCTGCAGTACCTAAACAGTATTCTGTGATTTTACATCATGCGCCTTGCACACCGTCGGTGTGAGGGATAGGCCACGGCAGATAACCACTCCCTCATCCTTTCCCACATTGAGTGAGTCGGGCGAAGCGGTACTCACCTACGCTGAATTATGCAGTGCCCAGCCCTCTGCTGAAAAAACCACCAATTTTTTTTCTAGGATCAGAACCCTACATTGAAATGTGTTTGGCTCATTTAAATCGAATTATAATTTGCCTAGACCTATTCCTAAATTTACCAAACCCAGGCTGATTGCCCCTCTCATATCCCAATCACCTTCTGTCATTGTCAGGCTAATCACCGCTATGAGGGTAAGCAGAGCGGATTGCGAACATCATACATTAATTGGCTGGCTATTTGGTTTTTTTGCTTCAGTTGTGCAGGCATGAGGTTTGTGGATTAATAAGAGAAGTATGGAGGGCGGGGGGGGGGGGGGGGGGGGGGGGGGGGGGTCATCCCTTCAGTTACAGCATCGTCAATCTCAGGGCTTTTAACGATCGTGAAGAGGGAAAATAAAAAAAAATAAAACAAAAATAAACATCATAGGGGGCTCCTGTGAGTCTAGGGATGCTCGAGTTGGAGAATCGAGCCAACAAAGAACGAATCAAAGAATTAAAGTTTATTGACCCAAGCTAAGTTGTTTACAGGCACTACAAGAGATTTGTC